TGAGAAAGGCGGTATATAAATACGGTAAATAAATAAATAAACATAAGGGAGAAAGGAGCTCCTGAAGTTTTTTCAATTATAGTAACTATGTTCATGCACAATTACCATAACAAAATAATAACAAAATTTTGTTAGTCTCATTATAGTAATGTTTTGTTACTGGATTGCACATCCATCGTACCTATCTTTGCTGCCAATCCCCTTTTTTCCCCAAGCCTCCTTGGCAGCCGCAAGTGCGCACTGAGGTGCAGACGGCGCTTATCTCTGGGAACGCATGGAGTGAGAAAGTCCCCGGCCTTATCTCTTGTCAGTGGCATTGCGCCCTGCAAGCAGCGCATTGAGGCATCATGCTCATGTGCTTGGTGGGTCACACACCTCCGAAGGTTCCCATGGAGCTCTGCAATGCTTCCAAAGGAGAACGCCATAGCTGTGCATAACCCAGACAGTGACATCTTACGCCCTCTTTACTTGAATCTAGTGCTCACATTTTGGGGCTAAATGACCTCCCCAAAATGAGGGTGTGCACTGCATTCGCATTATCTATATAAATCAAAATGTAGTGTTCGTTTCTGGGATTAATATAACTCAAAGACTACTGGACGAATTGACACCAAATTTGGACACAATGCACCTAACAACCCAATGTATGTCCACTAAAAAAAATGATTTTGTCATTTGGGAGTTGTAGTTGCCGGGATTTATAGTTCACCTACAATCACAGAGCATTCTGAACCTCACCAATGATAGAATTGGGCCAAACCTCCCACACAGAACCCCCATGTGGGCCACAGCAACACGTGGCAGGGGACGGCTAGTCTATATAAATAAAAATGTAATGTTTGTTTGTGGCATTAACATAACTCAGAAACCACTGGACGAATTGACACGAAATTTTGACACAATACACCTAACAGTCCAACGGGTACAAAAGAAACACAGCAAAATGGACTTAAAAACCCCCAAAATACACTATATATATATACACACACACACACACAACTTCCGTACAGTGGCCCTTATTTCTCATGCCAGTAAGGTAATGCTCAAGATCCTGCAAGGAAGACTCCAGCAATACATGGAGCAAGAGTTGCCAGATGTTCAAGCTGGGTTTAGAAAAGGCAGAGGAACCAGAGACCAGATTGCCGATATCCGCTGGATAATGGAGAAAGGCAGGGAGTTTCAGAAAAACATCTATTTCTGCTTCATTGACTATTCTAAAGCCTTTGACTGTGTGGATCATAATAATTTGTGGCAAGTTCTTGGTGGGATGGGCATCCCAAGCCACCTTGTCTCTCTCCTGAGGAATCTGTACAAGGACCAAGTAGCAACAGTCAGAACTGACCACGGAACAACAGACTGGTTCAAGATTGGGAAAGGCGTACGGCAAGGCTGCATACTCTCACCCAACCTTTTTAACTTGTATGCAGAACACATCATGCGATGTGCGGGGCTGGATGAATGCAAGGCTGGGGTGAAAATTGCTGGAAGAAACATCAACAACCTCAGATATGCAGATGACACCACTCTGATGGCCGAAAGCGAGGAGGAGCTTTCACCTTCTAATCAAGGTGAAAGAAGAAAGCGCAAAAGCTGGGTTGCAGCTAAACATCAAAAAAACCAAGATTATGGCAACAAGAATGATTGACAACTGGAAAATAGAGGGAGAAAATGTGGAGGCCGTGACAGACTTTGTATTTCTAGGTGCAAAGATTACTGCAGATGCAGACTGTGGCCAGGAAATCAGAAGACGCTTACTTCTTGGGAGGAGAGCAATGTCCAGTCTCGATAAAATAGTAAAGAGTAGAGACATCAGACTGGCAACAAAGATCCGCCTAGTCAAAGCCATGGTATTCCCTGTAGTAACCTACAGATGTGAGAGCTGGACCTTAGGGAAGGCTGAGCGAAGGAAGGTAGATGCTTTTGATGTGAGAGCTGGATCATAAGAAAGGCTGAGCGAAGAAAGGAAGAGACACTTTTGAACTGTGATGCTGGAGGAAAATGCTGAGAGTGCCTTGGAGTGCAAAAAGATCCAACCAGTCCATACTCCAGGAAATAATGCCCAACTGCTCACTGGAGGGAAAGGTAATAGAGGCAAAGATGAAGTACTTTGGCCACATCATGAGGAGACAGCAAAGCCTAGAGAAGACAAATTATGCTGGGGAAAGTGGAAGGTAAAAGGAAGAGGGGCCGACCAAGGGCAAGATGGATGGATGGCATCCTTGAAGTGACTGGACTGACCTTGAAGGAGAGCTGGGGGTGGTGACGGCCGACAGGGAGCTCTGGCGTGGGCTGGTCCATGAGGTCACGAAGAGTCGGAGACGACTGAACAAATGAACAACAACAACACACACACACACACATATATACACACACACACACACACACACCATATATGAGTGTATATATATACACTCATATACACTCATATACACATGCACATATATATATATCCAAGCACACACAAATATACACACACATACATCTACATACACACATATAT